GAAATCTAGTGAATTCTTTCTAGCCGCAGACATAACATTTCAGATGTGTGACCCTATTATACGTAGAAAAGGCCACATTACAGTAATTAGCAAAAGTTTTTGCAATACGTCTCATTGCTTGGCAAGCCACATGTCTGGTGCTGTAGGCATCAGCCACATGTATTGCCATCACCACAAATGCTGAGGTGCTAAAGTAAACCACAGTCTACAAATAACTGCTGCTGCAGCACAGTAGTGTCTTTTACCCAACAGTTAGAAATGTGACCAGTTCTGAACTCTTGACAGCGGAGGCAGGCCTTTTCAGAGGAAACCTCGGCAAATTAGGCACTCTGCTCCTTTCTAGGGCAGTGGGGAACTAAACTCACTTTTCAGTCTGAGCTGGACCAATTTCACCCCGTCAGCAGCAGAGCAATCACTGCAGCATGAGCTGCGGTGGCGTGACCCCGTTTAGTCCTGCAGACCCAACCTTTGTGCTCTTGTCCCCACCGGCATCAGGGTAAGCTGCAGCTGAGAGGTTTTCTTGCTGCAGCGAGTTTTGTCTTGCCGCACCATGGGGCTGTGCCCTAAGGCAGCAGGAAGCAGCAGCCAAACATCCTCGTGCAGGGAGACGTGGGAAGGAGAGAAAATAGTTCTTTTGCCAGAGCCGAAAGCAAGAGGAAGCTTTTTGTCATCCAAGGCATGAGAAAGCTGTAAAACAGCACAGGGTATGCAGGAAGGAAATGGAGCCTGACAGGTTCATATCACGAAAGCACTGAGCATAACCCATTAAAAGATTTTGCTATTACTTAGCACTGCTGAAGAGTGCATATATTGAAGGGCGGGAGTCCTGGAGCTGACCACACAGTCGTATTGAGGGACAATGAGCCAGACCTCCGTGGGTGGCTCTGTGTGCCTGTGTGCTTGTGCAATGTGTGTTAGCGCTCTATTAGGATGCACACGTTGTTTGCTCAGCAGTTCTCTTCTCGCCCCCCCACCCTTAAAAAGGGGAAAAAAATGACAAAGGGAAATTTATTTGTCTGCAAGGCCTTTTCAAACAGACAAGGTAATTACCTGAGTACATCTATTATATGCAGAGCTGCTCTGATCATCATAGAGCACGTTTGTCAAAGTATAATTAACCGCAAAAAAAAAAAAATGTTTAACTTACTTTAATGCAGGAACATGGACCAAAAATTTGCATTTTCAGTCTCTTCATGCAATATAAGAGAGAAGGCTGGAGGCCAAGAGTAGGACTTCACCCTGAAATACACAGCCTCGGCTTTTCAACTCCCCATGTCAAAATTTCTTAGCACTGTATTTTTTTAGAACTAGTCTACTACGGAGAGTTACTAAACATACATCAGCAGCCCAACAGAGCGCTAACAGCATGCAGCAATCAACTAAATGGACCGAGTGAGAGCCAGAAGGAAGACAGTGTGGGAGAATTTTACGTGAATTGGTATGTATGTAAAAAATGTCATATTAATGACCCAAAAGACTCAAGGTCCCTACTTGTTCGCAAAAGATGGAGAAGTAGCGCAAACTCCAAGGGGGTTTTCTGGAGCGTACTGGGGCTGAAGGGGCTGTGGAGTTACTAGGGCACAAACCCCACTTTTCCTTCCGTCACCTATGCAGATGTTGGCCTAAGCACAGGCGTTTCTGCAGACTGAAAATGTGGCTTATTTCTCTCCCTTCATAACTGTCTCCAGGGGAAGAAGATGCATTAGCGGAAGGCAAACTTTTCCCCAGAAGAGTGGTACCAACACCACAGCACTCATGGTGCTGTGGGACCCCCAACCCTCTCTCTTCCCTTAGCCGTTTAGAGCATAGTTCAGCTTTTACAGCTCCAGAAGGAGTTTAGTTTTGTTTCCAGTGCTTCTGTGCCCAAGAACAGGCAGCAAATCACAGTGCCGAGTTGCATCTACTGCCTGTAGAGGACAGGGTTCAGCCAGAGCCCAGTGTGATCCAGTCTCTCCCCTCTTCTCCTCCTTCGAGGAACTGGTGTAAGGCCAAATCCAGCACATGCGTGGAGCAGATAACAGGGGAGTCTGAGCCTCAGTGTGAGCACAAATCCCACTGTCATGCGGTGGTGCAGACACAATGTCATTCACAAGCTTAGTGTCGGGGACCTCTGAGACCGCAGAGAGCACCCCCAGGAGGGAAGGATTGCCTGGAAGATCCATTTCCTTCATGCTCAGCCCCACTCTGACCCTCTCATCTGGTATCACATCCCTCCTCCAGCAGCAGAGGCTGCTCCCAGGACAAAGCCTCTCCAGGAGAGCATGTGCCCTTGGAGACTGGCAAAGTGGGCAAATGTCTGCAGCCGCAGTGCCTACCAGCTCCCCCTGAGCACCAGTAGCCACTGCACAGCCTGCAGCCAAGAAACATCTGTGTTTGTGGAAATGTAGCTGCCAGAAGGGGAAAGATGCCACTGAAGTGCTGTTAAGAGGAAATAATATTTGGGTGTGGGTAGCTAGTAAATAAAGCACTGTATGTTGGTAAGAGCGTGAGAAGTGTAGATACATTCACAGGCTCAATATTGCCACTGTCGATAGGCATGGGACTGGACAGGCCCTTATTAGTATCATCAGTCTGATAATGCTGTGCTAGGCGCTTTACAGACACACAGGGACACATGGCTGCGGCACCACTTAGATCTGTTTAGAAATGCACATTCCTACACGAGGATGCGTCAATTCCTATGAGAAGCTCATGTTTTTGGATAGCAGCCACCAGCTGTACTCGCAGCAGACATACAAGCTCTCTTTGCAGACAGCAGAGCAGTAGCAGCAAGGCGAGGTTGCTCCAGCTTGTTCCCTAGCCCATACCAAAAAAGCGAATAACTCAGGAGCGCTGCAGAAACCAAAGCAGGCAGAACACAAAGCAGCTTCTCATTGGCCCCAGTCTCACCCCCTGTAGTTCCATGGCGCTCCAAATCCATTTCTCCTGATTTCCACACGTGTGGAAGGAGAATCAGGAATCTCACATCTAAGTATTATAGCCCGACAAAGGGAAGAAACCAAGCAGAGAGTAAAACAACGATTGTTTTCGTTCCTTCTCAAGCCCTAGAGTTATTGGGAAATGCATAGAAGGAAGCCTCCAGAGACCCATGAGCAGTTGCTTCCCCCACTGAGCAGATTGCTTAGCCGCCTTTATGTTACCTGACCCACTTTTCATCTCCCCATTTGAAGAGAAAACAAAATCCTACAGAAAATTCAGAACAGCCCAAACATGCACTCAGAAAGGCTTTGGACTGTGAACTACATTGAAAGGAAACTTGAGGAAAAAAGCAACCTCACTTTCCTTAGCACACAAAAGGGACTGATACCATATTTGCTTTCACAATGACTTAACCCCGCCCCGACACCTTTCTCTTCACACCAGATTTCACCCTCATTAACTAGGTTATAACTACACGTGCCAAAGTCAAGGTAAGCTGTATGTGAGTGAACTTGGTACATACTTCCGGCAGGGAAGGATGCTTAATCCAGAGACCTCTGTCTGCAGGAACTCCAAAGCCCTCTGTCAAAAGGAGGAGCCTCTCAAAAGTCGACGACACTTACTTTAGTACTGGAAAACTGGAAACCCCACCTCTTCACACGTATCACAACCTCGGCTGTGACTGAAGATCCAGCTCCCCGGGGCTTTAGCTCACCGCTCAGTGCAGGTGGACTCCTTTTGAGAGGAAAGTTGAAAAGCACTTCACTGGCACGGAGACCAGCTTCTCCACAGATTCATGCAAGCCCTACCTTCCTACACCAACCTAAACTAAATGTACTCCAGAGTCCTTCCTCACAGTAAGGGTTGCCACGCTTTGTGAACAGTCCAATTACAGCAGCAGGGACTGCTCCCAAAGTGCTGCCTAAAGAGTGTCATAGCATGGCCTTGCCGTTAGTTTTTTTAATTAAATGAAAATTAACGGGCTTGGGCTTCAGATGAGAAATAGCTACTAGTTCTTTCAGGGAAAAGAGCTCCGCTTCACCTGTGTGTGCGTGTGTGTGCATGTGCGTGTGTGTGTGTGCGCGTGTGTGTGTGTGTGCGTGTGTGTGTGTGTGTGTGTGTGTGTGTGTGTGTGTGTGTGTGTGTGTGTGTGTGTGTGTGTGTGTGTGTGTGTGTGTGTGTGTGTGTGTGTGTGTGTGTGTGTGTGTGTGTGTGTGTGTGTGTGTGTGTGTGTGTGTGTGTGTGTGTGTGTGTGTGTGTGTGTGTGTGTGTGTGTGTGTGTGTGTGTGTGTGTGTGTGTGTGTGTGTGTGTGTGTGTGTGTGTGTGTGTGTGTGTGCGCGAGTGTGTGTGCGTGCGCGCACACGCATGCCTGTGGAAAACCAATTTTGCCAGTGTGCAACTGAAACAAAAATTTCAGGCAATTCCCCCTCCCGCAACAAACTTACACCTGCTACTTGTGCGTGTTAACAAAACATGCCATGGTGTCCTAATTTCCCTCACAGTTTTTAAAAGTGAGAGCGTTAGAGTAATTTATTGTTTCCATTTACTACTCTTTTTATCAAATACAGAAATCAATAACAAGCTGCTGGTCAATAAAGAGCTGTTTATTGAAGGTAAAAACTTCCTGTAGGTGCTGAAAAGGAAAAAAACAGAGGAATAATTAATAAGTGTTTGACAGTGGCCACCAGGCTATAACTAATAAGGGGAATGTATCATCCGTTAGGAGAAAGTTTTCATTTCACAGCTGCCTCGAAGACCTGGGGACATTTCTCCTGCTGCCTGAAAAAACAGGGCATAGTTAGTTACATTATCAAATGGAAGTTTCAGTCAAGTATGGAAAACTTTTCTGTCTCTCTTTGAAAGTTGGTTCTTGCTTGCACAGACTCTCTGCCTCCAGTCTCCAGTGATTTGAAAAGCTGCTTTTGCATTCCTGCAAAGTAGGAGTTAA